CGTTTTATCATATAAATTATAACCTCCAATAAAGGTGACTTTAAAGTACGTGCACGCACACAGGTCACATCTCACATCTACGTCTAGGTAAATCCTTAGAAAGAGAAAGACGACTGCTAGTTGCCAGTGGCTGAGGGAGAGGAAAAGGAAAAGGAACTGCTGAATAAGGATAGGGAGTGGTAGAAATGGTTTCAATGTACTAAAAACCACTAAATTGTTCACTTTAAAAGGGATCCTTTTATGTTATGAATTTCACCCCGGGGGGAAAAAACAAAACAACACTTTTTTAAGAACATAGACAAATTAAAGAATATACACGAACATTCAAGAGGTTGAGTATGGAGGGGAAGGACAGAGTGAGGGATAAAGGATAACGAAAGTCAAGCAACAAGGTGGCACAGGGTACCTGAGAAAGGCCGTGCCCAGGCCACCAAAAACAGAGTACCATGAACGGAGGTGAGACTGCAAACCCTCTACCCTAAAAGTCCAAAAAAAGCAGTGGTTTGCTCCTTTTTTTTTTTTTTGGAATGATATTCAACTCCAGTCTTCCTCTGGCCACTTGTTATTTATACCCACTGCTGTATGTCTTGGAGCAGCCTTCACGTTAGCACACACCACCCCTTACCTGTCTGGTTTGAGGGTCTAAGGATGTGCCAAGATCCACGTGTTTTCAACCTGCTCTATTCCATATTTGCACTTGACCATACGTAACACCCAATTAATGAAGGTTTCTTAATGAGGGCTCAAAAATGGTATGCAGTTGCTTATGCCAAAATAAAACCCAATTCTGAAATAAGTCTATATTGTGGTGAGTTTTCATGCATCCTTCATAGCCAAGCCATTCCCACAAACCAATGCCACTAACCAAACAGCCAGGAGTCCAATCACGCCCATCACCAACCTCCCCCACACCATTCCCATATCCTCCAAACTAAGGCTGATTTTACAGGGAAAAAATGTTATCTGAATAAGAGTTCTTTGCTCCAAGATGGCCCTTCCCTAAGCCTCATGATGACCTGGCCTGGCTGTCTAGTATCAAGTTTAAAGGCCTGGAATTAGTTCAGAGAGTACACACAGCATCAGGAATAAGTCTCGGAAGCTTGCTTTGGACCTGCTGACTTCTCCAACTACCTTGTTGAAAACTCTACTTTTCCTGGATCTGTTTTCCAAACCGAAAACACCAAAATGTCACCTGCTCAAATATGGTTTAACAGAGGATTCTGTTTTCATCACAATAAACTAAAAGCTGCCCTTTTAAATAATTAGTCACGAATGTCAGTTGCCTGGAGGTGACACAGGAGAAACAAACCTGACATTTGTTAAGAAACAGCAGCTGGAAGGAATCACACAAGGAGAAATGGGGGTGGGGGGGCAGGGAAAAACTCCCTTCTAGGCTAAGACTTGTATTTTAGAAACCTAAAAAATAAGCCTTTTCACACAGCTGGGGGAAAGGTCATCACTGTGGTACCCGGTGGAGGACAGAGTGACCTCACAACTGCACTTCGCCAGAGAGGAGGGTCTTTTCAGGTGCCAAGGGCGATCTGGCATCTCTAAGGACCAGGCAGTTAAGGCAATACAGTTACACTTCTGGGCAGCATCCCTCCCACAGGGCGTTCCAATAAGCTGGACAAAGGGAATCATTCACAGCTGGATAAAAGCTGAAGAGAGGAGAAACATTGTAACCAGAGGAAAGACAGGAAATATATTAATAGTTCAGATAGAAACAAGGCTCCCAGGCACTTCCCCCCAAAGCCTTCATCTTCCCACCCAGTAGGAGGGGTGGAAATAGAAAAGGGCAAGGTGACCAAAGACATAAGGAAGGTGAAGAGTGAACCAAATCTGAGGGAGACAGGAAAGGCTCACCATCTCCCTGAGAAGCTGTATCCTTACCCTTGGCAAAGGTAGAATGATCATCTGTCAACGAACTTGGGGCTGGCTTGGGTTTTTGTTTTTGTTTTGCTTAAGGCCAGCTATTTATTCTCCTTGATCAATAACAAACACAAGAAGCAAAATATTTTTCAAATTTATGACTTACCGGCCTAATTTGTTTTAAAAGAAACAGAAGCATGCCTGCACACTAACGGAGAAGTTGTGTTTGGCTGTAGAAAGATCTCCTTGGAATTCCTATAAGAAATTCCTGGCTTTGGGCAGTCCAGAGGGGCTAAGTGTCTTTTTTCAGTGATGTGAGTCATCTAATCAAGTGGAGAATCACCATTCTCAGCTAGAGCAAGCCTTAAAGAAATACCAGTCTTTAGGCAGAGACATTGATAGAAGCTGGGGACATTATTCTGTAAGACATTATTCTTACGCTTTCAAACTTCCAAAGGCAAAACTAATTTCTCCACCACACCTCTTAGGCACAGGTGATCTCATAGACAGGAGAGGACTTTGACCTCCTCAGGAGGTCTCGGTCACCTGCTCTGCGCCAGGCACTCCCCAGCGTGGGTGACTGCTTGCAAGCCTGCCCCTTTCCTGTACCATGATGCTTTACCCACCAATCTCCTGGGAAGGAAGCTTTTCAAAAGGCCAGCCTAGGAGGCCAAAGGGACACTCAGCTGGAGGAGGTGAGCTCAGCTCCAGCCCGAGGTATTAGCAGCAGCGGGTGTGCTGTCAGGTAAAGGAGACTTCTCTCAGGCCTGGTATGACTGGTAATTACTGGTATGACTTTTACTGATTGGAATCAAGCTAGAACTGTGTTTCCACAAGGTAGTTACCTTATACACCCGGATAAAGTCACAAAACCAAAATCGTTGATTATGTGCTTCACTGCAGCTCTACCAGGTCTTCAAAAGAATCCCACCCTCCCAAGTTATGCAAGAACAATCCACAAAGGGTGCCAGGGAAATAATGAGCTGGAATTCCTCAAGTCACATAGGGAGCGCATTCCATTACAGATCCACCTCGTTCAATTTCCTAGGGACCTTCATTACCTAAGAGGATTCAGCCCGAGTTAGAAACCAGCACAAAGAAAGGGTCCCCTTGGAATGCAGGAAGGGGACAAACTAATTGTTCTAACTTTTTATTTATAGTAACCTCTACCACCTTCCTCTATAGCAGAAATACAGACCTGGAAAAATCAAAGAATCACATTTCAGAAACTTTTGATTATGTGAAAAGCACAGATTATCCTATCCCCTGACCTACTCCTCACAAAAGAAAAATATATATACAGTTGTCCCTTGAGGAATTGGTTCCAGGACCCTCAGCAGACACCAAAACCCACGGATACTCAAGTCCCTTATGTAAAATTAAATAGTAGTTGTATATAATCTATGCACATCCTCCATCTATGTAAATCATCTTTAGGTTACTCATAATATCAAAGATAATGTAGATGCAATGTAAATACTTGTTATACTATGTTGCTTAGGGAATAGCGATAAGCAAAAAGTCTGTTCATGTTCAGTACAGATACAACCATTCATTTTTTTTTTTTTCCAGCTACAGTTTGTAGAATTCGCCAATGTGCACCCCATGGCTCTGAAAGGCTGACCGTGTATGCATTTAACAGTTAAAGCCAGCCCTGGAAGCAGGTGTTTCTATGAAGGGGAGGCAGGAAAAAAAGCATAATCACTAATTCCAAACTCATATCCATGTTTTCATCATAATTTAGACAGAAATAGCTTACTATCAGAAAAATCACTTAAAGTTTCTCTACTTTGAAAATATTAGGTTGTGTAGAAATTGCATAAACATCTTTTAATACAAGGTCACCATTAAGGAGAAAATAAAGAGAAATTACTGGTATGACTTTTACTGATGGGAATCATGATGCAGAAAGGTTTTAAACAGCACCAAACCACATACACTGGAAGAAACTGACACCAGCCCTGTGCTCTGCAAGAAAGCCTCTCTCTTCTGAATCACCAGCACTGCTGCTGTCACTGCTGAAGGCCCGTGGGACAGCAGAGGTAAATCAATGTCCAAATTAGACAAGCAACCTGTAAAGAACCACAAAAGCTGAGAAAATTCCCAAGGGAACATCTTGGACAAGTTCACTTTCACAGTACTCAAATATATCATCCTTCTGGGAAAGCTGACTGGACAAAATCCCATGCTCGGAAATCATGACTTTGGGATACAGAAGCCCCACTCATACCAGGGTAAGGATGGACGACGACAGAGATCCTCTTATCCTACACGCTCCCACTCCAAGGCCAATGCTCAACCAAGGTGAGTTCACTACAGCAAGAACCAAGTCCCTACAGAACATGACTGTCCTGAACATAGAGGACAAGGCCCCAGAGACAAAATCAAATGGTGTCACGTTTCTCCAAAGGTAACTCCAGGCTTCCAAAAGGTGTGGTGTCTAAAAGAGAGAAAGAGAAACCCCAAACTGGACACAGAGGAGACTATTAGGAAAATTAAAAGACTGATGGGTGTTCATGCAGCCATTCAACAAATAACGACCAGCTCCCACTACACAGCATGAACTGTGTTAACGTAACTCAGGATATAAAGCTGGAAACAGACATGCTTCTTACGCTCCAGGAACTTAAAAGCTACCCAAGAAAATAAGCTTTATGCCTAATTTGCTGCATTATGCAACTATAGGCAATGTTCCCTAAGAATCACAGGAAGCAAGACTTTGGGGTGAGCATTTAGGTTGGACCTTGAAAGCGTCATATAATTGGTACATGAGGGGCAGAACCATGAAATGACAGTACTCTAAAAAGTAGGCAGGGGAGCAACAGGCAAAAAGTTGGGATCATTTTATTTTCAGGAAGCAGGAAATAGTACTTTTGAGGAGTAAAGAAAGATTACTGGAAAAAATAGACCAGGGGAAGACATGGAAGGACTTAAATAAGATGCAAGGGGAAAAAATGAATCCTCAAACAGCAGATAGCAGGGCAACAAATACCGCCTTCTAGGATCGTCTGCTCTATCTTGGAAATGAAATCAAACGAACAGTAGGACATTTGGGATCTTTTGTGCTTTTCTGTTCTTTTCCCATGGAGCACTGATTATTGAGGTGAGAAGAGGTACCCAGTTAATCTCACAAATGAGCACAGACACCACCACCACCACCACCACCACCACCACCACCATGTACTCAGGAAAGCAACACTAATCCTTATGGGACACTGTTAGCTTGATTGGGCAGTGAGTAAAAAACCAACCAAGCAAAATCTCAATTCTCTCAGCAGCCCTGTGTGGTACCAAAGGCATCTAAGAGGCCCTTAGATGTCCTTTTGTGTCGTTAAAAAAAAAATTAATACTTCAGATAGTTGGGGTATGTTCACACACTTTCCCTCTACAAGTAACTTTCAACTTACTGGTCAACAGCCCTGGAGAGTGCAGCTATGTCGGGTCCTAAGGGAACTTCTTCCCCAAGAGGCCTCCAGTTCTGTCCCCTTCTCCAAAGAGAGGAAGACTTTTCTTGTGACATCTTTCGTTTCCCTCCCACTAAATCCCAGAGGGCTGTTTGTAGCTCTCTGTTGTCCCTCTATTGTTCAAATCCAATGCTCATCAGACAGATGCCCTTAGCCAAAGAAGAAGAGAATATATCCAAACCCATTCCTGATCTTCTTTCCAAGGGGTCTGGAGAAGCAAGCACTCCTCTCTCAATGCAAAAATGTCTGGTCTCACAATCGCTTTCCCAGTCATCTCAACGCTGTCTAACTGTCCCGGCTGAGGAACTGAAGAAGCCATTTATTAGAATCAACCTTTAAAAAGGGAAGACTGTCTTCACAACTTTACAGATGCCTTCCAGGCCCTCACAAGTTACTCTGATGTTAGGAAACAGAAGTTACTTCCCTTGAACCTACTTTTCTTGTTTTCATTCATTTTTTAATTGCTAATTTTGATGCACAAGTTTGCTTCAAAGTTTATCATTCGTGCTGTTATCTGACTACCTTACAAAGCCGAGAACTTCTCTACTGAGCAGCAACGTGGCTGTTGTAAATAGCCTACTGGTTTACCTCGTGAGCAGCATTCTCCTGGGACAAAGAGAAAACTGCTCTAAGCAGTACAGCGATCAAGGTGAGGAGTGGATTTAGGGACTTTAGAGAGAAACTCGATTTGATTCAAACCAATGTTTTAACTCTTCAGGCTAGTCTCCTCACTTGCCCGCTATGAGTATTAAATGAAACAGGCACATGCAGGGATTAACACATCAATGATGAAGTGGAAGAGATGATTAACAAGGCTAGGGTGCTTCTTCAAAGAGATGACATGTACAGTCAATGCCAAAAGATAGGTCAAAATCAAAGGCAAGGCTAGGCACAGGGGCTCATGCCTATAATCCTAGCACTCTGGGAGGACGAGGCAGGAGGATCAGCTGAGGACAGGAGTTTGAGACCAGCCTAAGCAAAAAGCAAGACCTCCATCTCTACTGAAAATAGAAATATTACTAGCCAGGCCTTGTGGCAGGAGCCTGTAGTCCCAGCTACTCAAGAGGCTGAGGCAGGAAGATCACCTGAGCCCAGGAGTGGGAGGTCACAGCGAGCTATCATGATGCCACTATACTTTAGCCAGGGCAACAAAGCAAGACCCTGCCTCAAAAAAAAAAAAAAAAAAAATTAAGGACAACTCATTTCAATTGGATCAAGAAAAATAATCCATAAAAATCAAACCCAATATATCTAAGGAAAATTCTGGTTCCTAACAGTTCTATGTTAAATGCTTGTGTAGCTTCTTCTGGGTGGAAAAAGAAAAAGCTTTTTACTGAAATTGTCATAGATACTATAATTGTACATGTGTCCAATTGAGATTAAGATTATACACACTGCCTCATTGCCAGCTGAATAGTGCCTCCACAGCAGGGAGGTACTACAGGGATGATTTTTTTAATTATTATTTTATTTTTTTCCCCTGCTTATTTTTTATTTGCACATATTCGTGTGATGAGAGTGCAGTTTTGTTACTTTGATATACAGCTTTGTGGTGAATTCAAGGCCTTCGGTGCATCCATCACTGAAGCGATTCACCGCATTTCTTGTAAGTGAAACAGTTCATGTATTTTTCTAGTAAAGAGTAGAGCTCTTCAGCTTCAAAGGCTGACCCGGAAGACAGAGTCAGAAATAATGGTAATTCCTTTTGCTTCCTGGGTCTATTTCGTTTGCACTGGAATTATTTGTTTACTTGGTTAAATCATAGTGAACTGCTGCTGATATCAGCATGGGCACAGAAGTGAACACATGAGCAGTATGATGGGAAGTGAAAAATTCCACTACAACCAGGAGACCTTTGTTCAAAGGCACAATGCGGTTAAATTCACATCCTGTAGTCATTTGTTAAGTTCTCAGAACAATGGCAAATACACTCACTGGGAATAACAAAAAAACCATTGTTTCTTTTCTCCATTTCTCTTCCTTGTTGAGAGTTTAAACAGACTGTCTCAGAGTCCAGAGTGTACACACAAGATAAAAGCATGATATTAATACATGCATATCAAGGAAATAAATACACACACACACACACACACACACACTCTTATATTCAGTTGGTGTTAGCATTTAATACATGTTGATATAGGGGGCACTTAACTTCAGAAATTGTTTTTATGAACAGAATTGCCAAGTTTGATCAAAATATTAGCCCTGTCTCTAGCTACAATTTTGTCTTAAAACAAACTTTGCAAGTGGACGGCTAGAAATTTCCCAAATTGGATTTAAAATCCCTTCCTTTGGGATAGACAGTAACTATATGACATGCCACTGATGAAAGACAGGACTTTGGAGATGGGGGTGACAGGTTACACATCTCCACTGCAGAATTCTATCACTGGGGTGTAATCATTTCCCTGTTTCTCTTCTGCAGACCGTCCAAGTTCAAGGTCAGACCCCAAAGGGAGCTTCCTCTTTATGTCACGGGGATGTAGCTATGTCTGGCACATGCAGGTGCTCAACAGAGACCACATAAGTAGATGGAGGATAATCAACCTATCCCCTGTTCAGGTACAAGAGGGGAGATTTAAACTCTGACATTCAGCCAGCTCATAGTTGCTCAGGTCCTCCCAAAGAATAGACTCAGCACTCTTCCTAAGCTGTTTCATGGTTTAAGTATAGTTTCACTTTCTCTAAAAATGCAAGGAAGGACTCTCCTAACCCATACAGTACACTTCACTACCTGCCAGGAGATTACAGCTATATTTAGAGAGTGGTGTATTAGCATCTTTTTTCTTTTAATAAACATCTAGAAGATACTTAAAAATGCTTAACAGTCTGCCGTTTAGTTTGAATTTACTAGTCTGGTTTCAGGGCTTGGACGTACACAAGCAAAACCCACAGTGTTTTCACTCGGTGTGGGAAACTCTCTCTGCTATAATGAAATGTAAGTCCACTGCCAGAACTGCTCAGCACTCTTTACAGTTGTCAACACTTTAGCATTAATGTTAATAAGTATTCTGCGCTTCCCACTGTCCCCATCATCGATGCGGGCACATGACAGGCCTTTGAGGATTTCTGCTTTATGGCATTTATTTATCAATTGCGAGTTTTTTAGTATTTTGTATAAAACAAAGAATGAAAGAGGGAGAGTAGAGGGCATTTTTAAAAGTCCTCATTTCACGTCATCTTCAAAGCCCTGTCCACCCACACAGTAGCATTCATTATGTTAAGGACCCATAAGAAGTAGTCTGCAGTACACGTCCCTTTGTCCATCCTTCTCCTATTGGTTTAACGTTAACAATTCCTAAATGTTTCAATAAGTGCTATCATAAGAGTAATTTTTTAACCTCACAAAAGAAATCTATTAAAATATTAGGCAAATATATAAAAATTAGCACTAAAATATGAGGGTTGGAGAACACTGGACTATCTTAATTACTATATAGTAGGTGCTTCGTTAATGTTTACTGAGTGACCATGAATTCTCTCCTCAGTAAATTCTCAATTAGCCATACCAGTGGCAGGGTACACTGACGTGAAAAATAGAAACAGTGAGAGTCTTCACACACGGAGGACTTTCAGTGTAAAACAGGGATGAAAGTACCTGCCTCACTGGGTTGTTGTAAGGGCTAAACAAGCTGACAATGAAAAGTTTTAGCCCAAAGACACGTAACTCCTCAGTGCCAAATGCTCTTTTATAATCACTATGCATTACACATTCTTGCTCTTTAATCCTTAATTCAGCCCCACAAGGCCACTATCATGGTCCTGATTTTTTTTTTTTTAATTGAGACAAGAGTCTCATTCTGTTGCCCAAGACAGAATGCCATCAGCCTAGCTCACAGCAACCTTGAACTCCTGGGTTTGAGAGCGACTCCTGCCTCGGCCTCCCCAGTAGTGGGGACTACCGGTGCCCACCACAATGCATGGCTAACGTTTCTACTTTTAGTAAAGGAGGTCTCATTCTTGTGCAGTCTGGTCTCAAATTCCTGAGCTCAAGTGATTCTCTTGGCCTCCCAGAGTGCTAGGTGTGAGCCACCAAGCACAGCCTGATGGTGCTGATTTTGATGATGAAACTCCATAAAGCACCATGAGGCCAAGTAACTGGCTCACGGTCACAAAGCTAGTAAATGATGCCACCGGGATGAGAACCAGGGTCCGCCTGCAGTTTCAACCACAACTGTCATGTGATGCCACTTAAAAAATAGGGACCAGTCTTCTAGAAATTCACTCATTCTGAAGTTTGAGAATTAGAAAAGCAGATCAGACAGCAAACGCAGAGCAGCCGAAGGGAGCCCTGGAAGAAACAAGGGCTTTGCAACCAGACAGAACTGGGTTCAGGTTCAGCTACGTGACCTTCAACAGACTGTGTGCCTGTCCGAGTCTCCATCTCCTCGTTTGTAGAACTGGGATAATCACAGGAACCCTCCCAGGAACGATGAAAAGATCAGAGATGAAGTATGTTAAGTAACTGGCCCAGTCCGTAGCACACCATGGGCATTCCTTAAGTATCTGTTATCAGAATCATCTTGTCAGCTTCAATAGTTTTTAAAATCCTCATGGCAGGGAGAAAAAAAGAAGTTTTCAAAATTTGATTCTGATCACAGATTACTTTATCTCAAGAGATAAAATAAAATTCTCCCCAAGAGTTAAATACCTATTACACATAATTTTTCCTGTCCTAACTACACACACACACACACACACACACACATATCT